CAATGGGCTCCTCCCACTCATGCCGGCAGCATGGCGGAAGAGAGCGAATTTCTCCCGGTCCAGGCGTTTTGAGGGCTAGGGATAACTCCGCCCTACGGGGCAGAGTTGGGAGCTCATCCTCGCCCCGCCCTGCCCTTTCAGTTCTCAACCTTTCTAATCCACGACCCTTTAATATAGTTCCTCATGTTGTGGTGACCCCCAACCATAAAATTATTTTCATTACTTCATAACTGTAATTTTGCTACTGTTATGAACTGTAATGTAAATATCTGTGTTTTCTGATGGTCTTAGGTGACCCCGTTAGCAGTTCTTAACCTGTGGGTGGTGACAGTTACTATTCATTAACCTCTAGCAGGGTCACCTAAGACCATCAGAAGACACAGATATTTACATTATGATTCATAACAGTAGCAAAATTACATTTATGAAGTAGCAATGAAAATAATTTTATGGTTGGGGGTCACCACAACATGAGGAACTATATTAAAGGGTGATGGCATTAGAAAGGTTGAGAACCATGGTTTAAATCATTGTGTTTTTTGTTTGTTTATTTCTTTGTTTTAAGTAATTTTCACCAATTTCAGTGAGGTGGGTGTCCTCAGGGTGTCTCATACTATCTTGCTGGAAGTGGAACTCTTTATTTCAGTTCTGTAATATTATTAACAATATCATACATTTATATCCATCACAATCGAAATCTATGATTAGTTCTACTGTTTGTGCTGTTTGTGAAATGATAAGAAGGCCACACTTATATGACATCTGTAACAAGCAATCCATAGAAGAGATTAATTTCTTCATAAAATATTCAACTTATGGATATAAATTGCTAGCTGCTAACTGCCCTTAATTATAATTGGTGCTATAAATTCTAGGTATATTAATTTGCTAGAAATTTCATATAAGGCAGCACAGAGCACATGACTTTAACATGAGATGTTTATTTTCTCACAGCTGTGGAGAATGGAAGTCCTAGGGCAAAGTGTTGTTGGGATTGGTCTCTTCTGTGAGCTGTAAAGAGAGAATCTGTTCCAAGTCTCTCTCTTTTGCTTGTAAATGACTATCTTCTTTTTGTGTTTTCACATCATCTTTCTTCTATTCACATTTGTGTCCAAATTTTCTCTTCTTAAAATACATCAGTAATATTGGATTAGGGCCTATCCTCTTAATCTCATGTTAATTTAATGATCTCTTTAAAGATCCTATCTCCAAATAAGATTACTTCCTGAGGATTTATTGGTTATGACTGGAGCATATGAATTTTTAGGAATGATAATTCAGCACATTATCAGTAGGATAGTAACATTAAGTTGCTACCTAGCTTACTTTAAAATAAGTTTTAAAACATATTGAAAATAAATCTTAGAAAAATATAGTAATACCATGTAGTTTAATATATTGGAACAAAATTAGCAATAAAAATTAAGATTGGTAGGTGAAGGGAAAAGAAGCCACATACTAGCCCTGACAAGCTCTGGGAAGGCCTACATATGGGCCTTACCATCTCAGGGACATAAAGTAACCACATAGGACGCTCTGAAATGAAAACTTCCTAACTAAAGGCAAGAAATGACAGGTAGTCATGTCCTAGGTCAGTATCTTCCTTGACAAAGGTCAGTCTTTACTTTAACTGAGCTCATCTATTGTCTTCTTGCATCTATCATAACATACCCTTGGAATGACAGAGTTATGTCCTTTTTTCCAGATCCCTCATAGCACAATCTCCCACCATAGCAAGAGACCACAGAACACCTCATTGCTATTTTGTTCTCTTGCACACCATCTCTATGTGCTGTAAATGTTAATTGTTAACTATACTGTGCCCACCAATGTAAAAGAAGTATGTGTCTATCCAATTTACATTTTATCCAATCCCAGAGACTTCCAACCCTTTGCTTTCTCACATCTCCTCAATATACCTCCATTGAATTTTATGTAACCCTCCTTAAGCCTCCTCCTTTGATTCTGATGTATAAAATAAAACCTAAAACTGCCATTCTCTGGAGCATTTTATCAATTCTTACAGATCTTGCTTCACAGCAATTGTCATCAGTTTGGCTCAAATAAACTCATAAAAATTCTTACAGGTTTGAACATTTATGTTGACAGTTGAAATATTTAAATGTCTTTTAATTTCAGATCATCCTAATGTATTTTTGCATTTAAAATATTAATTAACTTACATTTTAGGGAGACATTTGAAATAACCATTAATAAACTTTAAAAATATTAAAAATATTATTAAAATTTGTACATTTTCTAAGATTAAAAATATTAAATCTGCAAATCTTGCAGTGCAGATCAAACTCATAAGTCTTACAATAACCAAAAGTATACTATTTAGTTTTTAACAGGTTAACTTTTTGATTTATAAATAAATATCTTTCAAATATAAAGTTTAATATGATTACTAATTTATAAGAACATATAGCTAATAAAAGCAAATTTGTTATAAATTTAAATAATATTGATATATTTTATAGATAACCTTCAAGATAAATCTTTGTTATTTACCTTTGCTTTTCTTGTGTCACTTAGTGTTTAAATGAATATTAAAACATCTATGTTCATGTTTCCTAAGAATCCAGAAAACATATTTACTTTTTTACTAAAAATGTAATAAATATTATTTTTAAAAATTAGACTTTATTACTCAGTTATATTTGGTATATTTTTGACATATTGATTAACACTTTAAAATATTAACTATAATAACAAAATATTTCAGTGATAACATAGGCCACTAATAATAAATTTTATAATTGGATTTGTGAGTTACTATACTTTATTAAAAGAATAAAATAAATAATTAAAGTCCCTTTTTCAAATGCTATATTCCCTGTTATCTTCTTTTATGATGTACTTTTAGATTTCCTTTTCATTTATTTGTACATTTTCTAATATCCTTAAAACATTAAGTCTATCAATTTTAGTTGACTCATATATGCTAATTAAATTTGTATAATAACCAGATCATGGTACATAATCACCATTGTAGTTAATTTATAATTAGCTAACAATTGACTAGTTCTGGTCACTATTGCTATAGGAAGTGATGGTGGTGGCAGGGAGGAAGCTGAGTTTAAAGAAAGTTTTGTGCCCTTTCCCATACGTATAAAAACTAGAGGCCTGGTATACAAATTTGTGCATGGGTGGGGTCACTTGGGGTGGCCTGCGGGAATTAGACTCCAGCTTGTGCCCCCTGCCTCGCAGCCCCAGGCCATGTCCCCAGCCTCACAGGACTGCAGCCCTGCCTGGCACCTCTCCTTGGCATGGTGTCACCCCCTCACGTGCTCCACCATCCCACCCGTGGAGTGATTGATCAAAGTCAGGTCCCAGGCCCAGCCCCTCAGTGCCTGGGAGCTGGGTGGCAGCCCCGCCCACTGCTGCTGCCACTGGTTACTGTCTGCAGGGGCAATCAGACCCCACTCTCACCAATCTTGGCCTGGTGCCACCTACTCACCTGTTCCATCATCCCACCACAGCCCTGCTCTTGTTGGGGCCCTTTGGCACCAGCATCATCTACTCTGCTGCCTGATGCCAGCACTGTGTTGCTGAAGACTGCCATGTTCCACACTGCCCCCTTATGGTCAGTGAATGTCAAAGCAAGAGGTAGAACTGGTTAAATGACCTCCTGAGGAGACAATTTGCATATTAGGCTTTTATTATATAGAATAGTTATTTCTTTGCTAATCTCCTCCCTTTCCCTTTCTTTGACCCTGAAGAAGCCACTGAATAATTAATTAGCTGATTGAAAGTTCTTTAATAGCTTAGACACAGTTATTTGGAAATCCATATATCTTCCTCTAGAATATAAGGAGTCTAGTTTACCTAATCTCCTTTCAATATTTCTCTCAGTCTACTACTAAAAAAGGTTAGGTCTAGAGCCACTCTAAAGACATTCCAAAGTCATATTTTTTTCTTTATTTATGTTTATAATCCTGACAGGTCAGGTAATATATATTTTCAAAGTTTCAATTTTCTTTCAGTCTTTTTCATTAGTACCAGGGATTCTTTGATTGTAGAGCAAAGTATCTGATGATGATGACGATGATGTCTCTCCATTAACCAATTCATTAGCTTCCTACAGCCTAGCTTTTTTAAACTGAGCAGATCACATGGTTTTAGGGTGGACAGTGTATGCTCAGTCTTTAAAATCCCCATTTGCTTCATTACTTTTGGTAACAGGATGATTATCCTGCCTCAGTTGAGACCACTGGTGTCAAGGAATCCAAGCAACAGGTTATGAGTGAATGAGTGGATGTAAATTCATCTCCCTTCCTGCAAAACCAACTAAATTGACTGTCCTGCTAATGAAAAGCCAATCCTATCAACTATAAGAACTTACCAATTCATTAAAAGTTAAACAATGGGAAAATTATATAAATAATCACTTGATATTACTTGACATGTTAAGTAATCTTAGTCAATGTGCCCAGTGTAGTTTTTAATAACAAGAATTTGAAGTTATGCAAACTGAACTTAAAATCCTATTGATGGCAATTACTGCATGATCTTGGAAAAGTATTTAATCTCTCTAAGCTTCAATTCTATTGGCACTGGTGATGATGATGATGATGACATTGGTGATTTTCATTATTAAAATTGAGTCATTTATTCTATGGCAGTGGTAATATGTGTTAACAAGTAATATACTTTGAATTGCTTATAAGTGTTTATTATGGAAATTTACAGTGAAGTTGAGGAATAAACTAACAACTACTGTACAACAAAAGAGTTAAAAAGACAGACATAAAATAACTAGAAAAGCTGAATTCAGATAAGACCATATGTATAAATTAACTTAAGATTGAGAAGCTTATGAAAAATGTCACCAGATCACTGTAGTAGCTTTTTAAACCAATAGCATCAATAGAGGGTTCCAATAACTGATCTTATGACAGACATGAGCTGTGTTCAGATCTTATTAGACTAGCTAGGTTCTACTTAGTATTGGAATCTTCACATAATGAAATGCAATTAGAACTATAAACACGAAATAGAATCAGAAAATCGTTAGTAGGCACAAAGCCTTTATTGTCGCTATTATGTACAAGCCTAGAAACAGTCTTTTTCCTACAGAAGAGGACAGACAGCCTTGGAGAGAACTGCTCCCGTAGGTCATTTCTTGCAGATGGATCTGCAGTCCATCTCTGAGCTGTATCAGCTGTGTCACCATCGCAGTAGCAGACAGTCTCCGCTTTCCACAGAGTAGAACTGTAAGGACTGCTGGTCGTTCTCCAGCTCAATCTCTCTGCCACATCTGAGATCGGAACACAGTGGGGTGATCAAACATCAGAGCTTAGGACATGTCCCCGCCCCCCAGACAGGAGAGAGTCCATGGGCTGGGCTGATAGCTCCGGGCTGCCCACCTTGGGGCTTTCGTAGGCCAGCAGCAGGTCAGACACAGGGACCTAGAGGAGACGGGACAGCAGCCCTTTCACCTTCTGAACTGTCATGGAGTCTGTCAGAGAGGAAACAGTGCGCTCAGGTGATGCCACCTGTCGCAGGAGCTCACAGGGCAGGCCCGCCGGTGCAGTGACAGCTGACCTGTCACCTCAGCGCCGTCCACCCAGGGGACCGATAGGCCCAGGCCCAGGGTGCAGACCGGCCTCAGCTCTCAGAGCCAGTGCCCGGCCCGTGCCCTTGCCAGCGACTTTTCACACTGCTCAGGGGCATCTGATTCTCCGTCCCTCACCCCGGTCTCTGCAGAGGAGTGAATGTGAGGGAAGTCTTTAACTTTCCTTTTAGGTCTCTGTGGTTGTGATGGCCTAACTGGAGACCACTGCGGGGCCTCTGAAGGAAGGGGACCCAGATGGTGCGCCGGGCCCTTCCCTGCAGGCGGCCGGCAGGTATGCGGGTCTCTGCCGGACACACTGGCAGTGACCACAGGCCCGGACTGCGGCCCAAGGAGAAATGCGTTGGTTTGTCAGAAAGCACTATGTATGAACCCTCTCCAAAGACAGTTATGGTAAACAGTGGCTATTTTGATTATGAGAAACAGTTTCTTTGAAGCTTTAGCAGGAGGTATAGCAATAGTGCAGCGTTCCTACAAATATCACACGGATTCCAATATTTTTCTATCAGAGACCATTTTTGTAAAGGCTGTCCGTGTTTTTATGCAACTTAAGATAATTAATGTCCTTTATTTAAAAAAAAAAAGAAAGAAAAATGTCAACTACATTTATAGGAATTGAAGCAACTAGGTTTTACATTTAAAATAGTTTTCAATAAATACTTTTGCATAGTTTTTATTTCTTCTTCATATTTTCCTTAAATTAATGCAAAATTCTTATATTTAGGAGAAAGGTACTATAAATTGTTGCCCTAAATGTGACAACACAATTGTAAGTTATTAATGTGCTTATTAAAGAAACATTCTGTTATTTCCTTTGAAAATATTACAGTATTTTTTTCTTGTTAAGAATATCTTCAATCTTTTGCCTTAAGCATTGCTTTTCTGGATGATATAATCTCAAAGAGCATCAGTAATAAACAATTTTAATAGAGAGTATAAAAGTATCTTTTTTTAAAGATACACTCCTATAGAAATAATTTCTAATAGACAATATTTCTTCTCAACCTTCTTGTTTTTTGTTTGTCTGTTTTTCTTTAGATCAAGCCTGTAAATCTCACTTTGCATGTGACTTATGCTTATGTAGAATTTTGGATCAATCCAGGCAGAGTACCAGATAGTCCCAACTAAAAGCCATGCAAAAGGTTAACATACACGTCTAAACATACTACAAAGTTGTAGATGATGAGGAGATTAAGATTTTGAATAATTTTTAAAATTTGTTTTATTCTCATTTCTCTTTCAAAATATTTGATTATTAAAATTTCTGGGGATTTGAAGGTGACTTATTTACTGGTATATCAAGTTATAAAGCACTAATTATTAGATAATTACTAATTATTACTAATTATGTAATCAGGCCAATGTAAGTATCCTTTCTAAAGCTGAGAAAGAATGAATAGAGTATAATATATTTAAAAAATTGAATTCAAATACAATATCATGGTCATTTCTCATCAAACATCAGTGAAGATGTTTTCCCTCCACTTTCACTATTCTATTTTCTTTTTGTCAGCTAGAATCATTTTTTACTATAATTTCTGTTTATCTATTTATTTACCTAATATTTTTCTCTAATGATACTATTTCCATCTGATAAAATAGGCAAGAGAAGTTTAAAATCTTTAAATATTTTTTTGCAAAATTAAAGTAAACTGAATAATTAGAATAATTTTAGGCCATCTTGAACAAAGACCTAAATATGCTATGCATTTAAATAAACTGACTTTCTTTTTGGGTATATAATCTTCAGTCATTATTTCAATATTTATAACTTTGTCCATAATCTATAATATTTCAGAGACTGTTGTATAAACCAAGACTTTAAAGAGAGTCAAGCCATTAAATAGCTGTATTGATGACTAGGTAGATATCTTCAAACCATCTCACAACTTCACACATTAGAAGTTAAAAGGCTCATAGGCAGAAGATATTAGCAGGATAAGAAATAGTTACATGTTTAAAAGTTTTCTGGTAGACTAGGGATCTACATTTGCCCAAAGACATTTATCTGGTAAAATGGCAATAATATCAAAATTTTAATAGTTGGAGAAGAAGGTTGAACTAGACTTTGTGGCTAATCAATTTAGTCACATTAACCTCAGAGTATCCATGTAATTAACTTTTCTCCATAACTCCTCCTTCCAGTGAAACATAAGGCGCCATGAATACTTATTGGTCTAGCCAAGTATATAATAATCAAATTTTGACCTGTTTTTAACTTATGCTGCTTTTGACAAACAGAAGGAAATAGGACAAATTATATAACTAACTCTATTGTGCCCTTGATCTTAATAATGGATATTTAAGGAGAAAAAAAATGCCCAGGGTAGAAATACTCTGTGACTATACTCCAAGTGAGCCACTATTTGAATCATCTCACAGGGAACAGTCCTCACATATGTGGAAACCTGCAGCTAAAATACATAGAACTCCAGTTACCAAGAGCTATAAGAGGGAGCTTCAAGGATGAGGTTTAAAATAAAGTTAATAAAGATATTCTAAACATGAGTAAAATCCATACATGCAAAAACCTAAACCCTTGGGACTGAGTAATTAGTGCCAACTTCTTGTGCATCCATAGTTTTTAGTCACTCCACAGTGGAATTATCTTCAGTGTGTGCATTTGATGATATTTTTGTAATAGGTGATTGATTCTGCTGTACTGGAAATGATACAATACAAATGGTATATTTAAAGTAACATACAGCAAGAGGAGAAATTTCAGTTTCTGAGTAAAGATAATGGGAAATTATTCAGACAACAATTAAATATCCAGGGCTCCTCCTGATTGCACAACTGCCTTAGGCAACATTTAGTTTCAGAGGCTATGGTGGCAAATCAATAAAGTGCAATGCCCCATTTATTTTACATTGCTGGGTAATGAGGTGTTCCAGCAAAGAGAATTTTCCCAGTGAAGTTTACCCTTCAAAAAATGTTTTTATAAAAGCCACTTTGTAAGCTTGTGGTCTTCCACCCACACTTAAGTCTTTAATGCTCAGATTTTCATCTGAAAGTTTGAAAAGTCCATTTCTAACTCCAAAGTAAATGGCTCTTTAAAGTCTTAAATAGTATTATACTTCCCCCCTTTTTGTTTTTTCTTAAACAGAGTGCATGGCTTCTAGAGAAGATAGAATTCAAAAATATTTATAATTTTTCTTACTCATCCACTTTTAGTCTAGATAACAGAAGTTGCTGTATTGTCTTATGGAGAGTTTTTAAAAAAGAATATTGGAGAGTCAGCTGCCTGATCTTAAAGTTGTGCTTGGACCTTTTTAATGCAACCATCTCTCTATGTGAACCTGGAAATGCAGGCTTTCTTAGTCCAACCCCCTCTGGCTTTCTTAGTCCAACCCCCTCATTTCAGGATGAAGAAACTGAACACTGAAGAGGTGAAAGTTTCCCACCAACGGCGTGCCAGTGCTATTACTATCTCCTACATTAAGGATTGGAAAACCATGGCTTACTGGCCAAATTCAGCCTTTCTCCTGTTTCTGTAAATAAAGTTTTATTGTAACACAGCCATGTTCATTAGTTTGCATATTATCGAGGGCTGTTTTCAGGCTATAGCTATAGAGTTGATCAGTTGGGACAGAGACCAGGGAGAGATATCTGGTCTTTAAGGCCTAAAGTACCTTCTATCTGTCTCTTTTTAGAAAACTAGAGGCTCAGTGCACATAATTCATGCTTGGGTGGGGTTCCTAGGCCTGGTGGGTGATCAAGGCTGATCTGGGCCAGGCTGATTTGGGCCTGAGCCCCTGGCAGGGTCCAGAAGAGGAGGTCTGTAGCCAGGCCAGGCGTGGAAGGAACAGACACCAGATGCTGACGCTGCTCTCGGTGCTCTGCCATCCCACAGTTCCCTGCCTTACCCCCTCCTCCTTGCCTCAGTGCCACACCACCACTGAGGCCGTGCTGGCAGGGGAGGGATTGGAAGGGCCGGGGAGGTTTCAGTGTCCAGTCTGGAATGTGCAGCAGGCAGCCAGTTCTCTATCATCATTGATGCTTCTGTCTCTATTTCCATCTCTCAAATCAATCATATAAATCATATATATATATATATTTAAATGCAAGCTTTTTAGAGGAAGAAAGGTAGGGCAAGAAGTTTATTGACAGGGGGGCATTTGAGATCTTGTTCACATCTCAGATAGGATAGTATAATATAAGGTGATCCTCAGGGGTTGACCTGTGAGGAGTGGCATGGGTGGAGCAGGGCACTGTGGGCTGAGGAACGGGCTGTTATGACTGGGAATGTCTGTGACAGTGACCCCGAGCATGTGTTGGGGCCATTGCTGAGGTCATTCATCCCCAGGAGGTTTTGATTCTGGACTGGAGGAGAAACATGGAGATCAGCGGGCCTCTCTTAGCCTAGAAAGTGAAGTGGGAGGCAGGAGTGGGATGCCCTGCTTCATTACAAATGTAAACATGCAGTGTAGCCGCATATGGACATCAGTCAGAGTTCAAATCAATGCCCAGCCAGCCCTGGTGGCTGTGACCTGCCACTCTGGCTGTGCTGTAGGCTACTGGCAGGGGAGGCCGAAGCCTGCCCCCAAGCTCAGTATACAAAAAGGTGGGCAGAAGCCAGAAGCTGAGGCAGCCAAGCAGCACTGCACCGGCCATGGAGCTGGACAAGGAGCAGCTGTTGGTGCAACCAGCTCTGGAGTCAGAGAGGCTGAGCTCCCTGCACATCAGCGGTGAGTCCCTGGGAGCCCGTGGTGCCCCACCCAGGCGGGGCCTGGAGAGGCCTTTCCCTTCTGGAGCTGTTCTTCTCAGATGACAGCGTCGGGCTGCTTTTTTTTTTTCCTTTTTTTTTTTTCCCTTCAATTTATTTATTTTTTATTGGAAAGCAAGCTCCGTGCTTGTGGTTCCTAGGATCTGTGGGCCATAGGGTGCACTGTGACCTCACTGCACCTTCTCCCCCCTCCTCCTGTGCTGAGCATCTGGCCCCTGGTGGTCAGTGCGCATCATAGCGACTGGTCAGCCGGTTGTTCTGGTTGTCCACTTTAATGGTCACTAGAC